ATGGTTGAAAGAAATATACTGAAATTTAAATGTATAATGACAATGATTTGAAATTTTAGTGCTGGAAATGTTACCATCAACTAATTTATTAAGGTACGGCAAATATATATTAGGTAGACGAGACTAGTATTAAGATCCAAAATATGAGGAGATTCTGCTGCGATCCTATATGTAGTATTATCAATAACCAAACTTATTCTCTTATTAATTGGTCAACGCTTTGAAATTAATTAGGACAGTTTATATTTTAACAAGATATGGTGGTTTACAGGAACATCTTGAAGACGATGCTAGCAAATCAACGACAATGTAATTAAATAGGAGTGCATTACTTAAATGGTCATTCAATTATTCAAAATTATTTAGTAAAGTCATTTTTCTTTCGTTTGTAACAAAAAAGTCACTTAACTATGCCTATAGTACTCAGAAGATCAGTCAACCAGATTTCTCAAACTTTTGATTGTCCAATACCTAATTACTCTCTAAATTATCAACGTTTATCTTCTTCTTCTTCTTCTTCTTCTTCTTTATTTTTTTTACCTTTTTAATATTATAATTTTTTTCTCTTTTTAATCAATATTATGGACTTACCTATATAACAAATATAAATTATTTAAAATAAAAATTTAAAAAATTATTTTTCTAGCATATATAATGTCGGAATAATAATATCATTGAGCATACTTATCAAAAATATATAATGTATATTATAAAAGTACCTTTGTTTTAAAAAGTTATTTTCTATAGTACGTGCATGGAATATATATTTCAAAAAATTTATTTTCTTTCATTTTTAATTGTGTAAATAAATTTTTGAGTTTTTGCTGTTAATATAGTGAATTTCGGACCACCCGGAGCTAGGTCTAAAAATCTGCTATTGTTGGTTCGAGTTTCGTTCATCGCGAATGCGGAGGTGGAGTCGCGTTAGCGAAGAAGGAATTTGGGGAACTTGTTATTTGCTCTCCGCGTCCGCGATCCCTAGTCCGCGATTGCGAAGGTCTGGGACATGTGGCCTTTGTGTTCGCGTGAAAGGGTACGCGTTCGCGTAAGGGAAAAGGGGCCTTTGAGGGGTCATCATCATTACCCTTCGCGTTCACGAGGGGACCACCGCCTTCGTGAAGCCCGGGCGAGTCAAGCCTTCGCGATCACGAGAGAGCCCTCGCGTTTGCGATGAAGGTTCTCAGGACCTGGGCCAACTTTGCCTTTGCGATCACGAGGCTTCTTCCGCGATCGCGAAGAAGGGTCAACTAGGCTGAGACTTGTTTTAAATTGGGGATTGGGTTTTTTTTTTCTCATTTTACTTTGGGTTAGACGATTTTGGAGCTCTTGGAGAGGGATTTTTCACCTATCATTGTAAGGTAAGTAATTACTACTTAATGTGAGTTTAATACACGGATTTTAGGTAGATTTTAACATATAAATTGGGAAAACTATAGGATTTAGTTGAAAAATCTAGTTTTTGATAAAAATGGGATATACCACGGAAATGATTATGGAATTGAGTAGAAATTATATATTTGTGTTCATGAGGTTATGGGTAACATTTATTTACAAAAAATTATGGAATCTGCGCATGTGGGCCCGAGGGTGAATTTTAGTAATCTCTCAATTTGGGTTGGGTAATTACTCTAATAGTTAAATTATAAATTTTTGAGCATATATTAATTAATTTATACAATATTTTGTTAGTTTCGGATTGCGTGGCACCGATTTGAGACTTTAGTGTGAATTGTGGACCGGAAGAGGACTTGAAAACAAGGTAAGTCTCTTGCCTAACCTTGTAAGGGGGAATTATCCCCGTAGGTGCTATAAATGATTGTTTGCTAATAATTGTGGATGCTACGTGCGCACGATGTGACGATAGTTGCCTAACCTTGTAAGAGGGAATTATCCCCGTAGGTGCTATAAATGATTGTTTGCTAATAATTGTGGATGCTACGTGCGCACGATGTGACGATAGTTCGCACGTAGCTAAAATGATGCTTATGTCCGAGGTAGTTTTTACGAACAAACTATTCTAATTAACTTTCTAATATGCTCAATATTTTATTATTCCAACATTATATATGTTTAAATACTATTTTTATTTTTTTAATTTATGAATAAAATTTATTTATTCTAAGGTAAGCCCATAATATTGATTAAAATGAGAAAAAAAATCATAATATTAAAAAAATAAAAAAATAAAAAGAAGATAAAAATTGATAATTTCAAGGGTAAAATAGGTATTTGGCGATCAAAAGTTTGTGGAATCTAGTAGAGTGACTTTCTGAGTGCTATACGCATAGTTAAGTAACTTTGTTATTACAAACGAAAGAAAGATGACTTTAGTAGATAATTTTGGATAGTTGAGTGACCATATGAGTAATGAACTCAATTAAATAGTATATTACTTATTGGTCAATATGGAATAAGAAAAAAGAGTATTACTCCTTAAATGTGGGTATTTAAGTAGGAGTAAATTTTTTGTAGGAATATATTTTTTGAATAATGTTACATGCATATGGTTAGCAATAATAAATACCCACTTCCTTTGCCGCCCATCTTGGTTGGTTAAAGTATTTTTTGATTACATTGTTCTTTATTTCAAACCTTTAACGAATAAATAAGTGTTACGAGTTTGAATTAAATGAATTAGAGGTCTCATGTTAGAACATAGAAAATTAACAAAAAATTAGTAGGGAGATTTTCTCTTTTGGGTATTATATATATGGAGTGAATTCATCTTTTGGGTATTATATATATGGATAATGGAGTTAATTCAGATTAGTAAAGGTCCTAATGAAGACATGAATATCGAGTGAAAAAAATTAAGAAAAAAAAATCATATTGTATAGCCGCTCTCAAAATAATAGTTGAAAAAAGTATATTTTTATATATATATATATATATATATATATATACATTCCGTATGTTATATACAAAAATTCTATAAATTTTATATATTTTTTCGATTACCAAATATAAATAATTTTTGACGCGGACAAAAAATGATAATACCCTAGTAGAAAGTGGTTTGAGTTCGAAACCGTAACACTTTAAGTTTTACTCGTCCTTTAATGCAGCAGTTTAATAATTCAATTGACTTTAACAATTAATTATGTAAACAACATTTTTTTAAGCGGTGAATGAGTTAAACTTTTACTCACAAAAGAATTTAGATAGTACTTTTGTTAAAATAGTAATTTAAAATTTTAAATATACTCTGATCATTTTAACAAAAGAATTTAGATACAAGCATAGATTGCCCTTTCAGCGAAGGCTGGGACCCATTAACATCCACGAGGGATTCTATAAAAGTACACGTGTTAATCGCTTCACCGAAATGGAAAAGACACTTCCCCAGGCTCAACTACTGTACTGTTACTATTCTACAAAACAATTTCGCTTTCGTTTCAACGCATTTCGCGTGATTGTATAAAGGTTAAATCAAGGAGTAGTTTTTGTATTTTATATATAGAAGATTACTTACACGTACCTAATTATAATAATTAATTTAATATGCAGTCTAATACTCCATTAACTTAGGACTCTTAAAATTAAATTACTAAAGATTATAGTAGAAGTACTCTTCCATTTTAAACTAAGTATTTATGATTCGAGCCCTAAAAATAAAATTATATTTACTAGAAAGCATTTTAGCTCATAAAGTTAGATTTTTTGTCACTAATCCAAACTAATATAGGACGATTAAAAAGAATAACATGGGAGTGCCTTCTTTCCTCAATAAAGGGAAGCGATTTGTGTCCGTCTACCGAAACAACTTGTGGATAAAATAAAGGAGCAATACAAATTCAAAGGCATCATAATTATTTTTTGCTTTTGCTGTTTTGCATGCTTACTCGAGCAAAACTCCATCCATTGATTGAACAATATTCTTCCTTTCTTTAATAGATTAATTCTTTTTTTGTTCTACTTCGTTTCCACTTATTCCAAAAAAGTATACTAGAAAAAATATTGACAGTTTGACTCTCTTGACAAGTAGAGTACTTAGTACTACTGTACCATCTTTCACGTGCCATAAAAATTTGGTATTGCACATAAAAGTCATCCAAAAATTATTTATTTTAATGCGTATATTTTTGAAAATTGACATTATTGTCGGCTGCATTAATTGCAAGGCCAATTTTAGTTTCTTTATGCAAACAAAGTACAGTACTCCATTATTTACCGTTGCCGGTACCCAAAAAATTTCAAGGATGAACGAAAATTCGTGGAGAATTCCTTAGTTAGTCGTTTTATATTCTTTAACTATTGGTGATAGGATTTGGAGAAAATTACAGAAACGTGATCTTTTGTTAAAATAGTCATTTAAATATACTCTGAACAATTTTGATCATTTAAATTTGTATCTCCATTCTCCATCAATATTTAACGAATTTTTTATTCTCAGATTTTACTGAAATAGTGAAAAAAAAGATTTAACGAGAACTCCTAAGTCCTATTTGGAGGTGTAATATTTGTAATTTCTGCAAATTTTTTATTATCTATAGTTAGTATTTATTGTATTTTTTAGGGTATAATATATGTTTGCAAGCTTTTATATTTGGTTTCTGCAATTTAACGAGGCTTCTTATGTTTTAGATTAAATTTTTTCTCACAATTTTATTAAATTTAACGATCAAATTTTATTAAAGAGACAAAAAGACGCACATTTGACAAATTTTAACAACCAAAACTGCTCAATTATATGTTTATAAAATTATTTTTAAATTTAGCAAAACATAATATTATTTTTATCACTTTCTCATAAGATTAGCAACCAAATAAGAAACATGAAAAATAGTTTGAATGCAGATTAAGTACGAGTTACTAATAGTGATAGAGCTTAATTAATACTCTATTCATGAAATGTGTAATTAATTAGTACTATCAAATACATATTATATTATACTAGTAGCTTTTAAAATTACAAAATTCAATTTCTTACACTACATACCCAGTTATGTAATTGCACCATTTATATATCGTCACCTGTTCAGAATCCTATCCACTCCACCTCTCTCACACACAAAACACACACACAGTCGTTTTTCTCTCTCTTATTTCCTTTTAACCAACCTTCTGACATTCGTCAAACTTCCTTTTTCTCATTTCAGTCATTACAAAGAAAGGATAACAAGGGAGACTTTCTTCTTCTCTCTACAGAAGATATATTGGAGGAAATTTGCCCTCGCTTTTACACCTTCAACTTCAGTAGTATCCTCCTCTCCATTTCGTCCTGTCACCGGTCGTCCGGCGACTTCTCCGATCAATTTAAGGTTACATGACATAATTCATTCAGTTCCTTGAGAGATTTTGTTATTGAAGTAGTGTGTAATATAGAATATATACAAATATAGTTGAGTGAAGGAAAATGGATTTGGTGGAAGGAGTAGGGGAGAGTTCGTCACCGCCGAGGAGTTTTGGGAGCTGTGCACTACTGTATGATATAAAGAACGATGTCTATAACCGTCTTGTCCAGAGCGGAAATGCGGAGGCCGTTACTAATCCGGAGTTGCTTCGTGAGCAGTTGGATTCTCACTTTGCTCGCTTGCCTGCTAGGTTTCATTTTCTCTGCTTTAGCATTTTCCTTTTTTCGCAAAAATATGTAAGACGTTTACTTGTATTGTTAATATGCGATTTCTCAAGCTGAATTTTGTGTGCAATTCCATCTGTTTTCTGGAGTGTAGAGAGCCGGTAATTTCGTCAACTTAGATAATGAGAGGATAATTAGGAATTTGTTTTTCTTCGAGAGTGTATATTGAAAAAATATGAGAGGTTAAATTTTGTGTCTATCTATGTGCCTAGGTGTTTTTTGCGGTATTATTTTTGTTTGTACCTGTATTTTCGAGCTGGAATGAGGAGGATTATGTGGTGAGATATATATATGGAAGCCATTATTACTAGGTTGTATGAATAGTTAAGCTATTTATGATATTTGATTAAAGTATTCAATAAAGTTATTAGCTCTATGTTTTTTCTGTATAATAGTTGAACTCTGTTTTGTGATTAATAAAGTAATTTGATTAGGAAAGTCAGATTACAGCATGTTAAATAATTTAAACTAGCTTCTGGGCTTTGGTTTAATGATAAAGGTAGTGCAACACGTAATGTTTTGTAGGCGCACGCCATGAGTTTGAATTGTGTTGGTGAACCAAGTCTGCTAGTTATTTAACAGTATCTTTGATGCTTCAGTTATGGGTTGGATATTAATATGGATAGAGCAGAAGATGTGTTGTTGCATCAGAAGATTCTTGTTAGAGCAAAAGATCCCGATAATCAGCCTGCTTATCATGTCCGATATTTAGAGGTACGAACTCCATTTATCGTATAGTTGCAAGTCTACTACCACTTTGATGCCATCTGATATTGCTGGTGGATTCTGGGCTGTTTAAGTGTATTCTGTGCTTTTCCTAATTGCTGGAGTTGCTTTTGTAGCTTTAAAGTTCCTTCATTAATCATTGTCAATTTCTTTCTCACATGCGTCCGTGATTCTCTCTTTTACTGATTTGATTGCTTTATGTGTTGTTTCAGACGTGAATGATTGTTGATATGCCATCTGATTTAAGTATCTATTATTTGTATATCTTTTTCTATACGCACCCTTAAGATCACTATTCTTTTTGATTTGATCATTTCACGCGATGGTTTTGTTGATTCATTGTTTTTTTGGCTAGATTCTCCAGTATTAAGTTTTCAGCCATTATATGTTCATCTGCATTTTGTTGTTAGCATGGTTTCAACGACCTTTGGGCTGTTTTCTTCATTAATTAAAGGATACATAGCTTTACATCTGAATCTTTCCTTCAGTTCTACGTATTATAGTTGAATTATCCTCTATAAAAGACAGATAAGGATTGGTTGAATCATTGTTTATATGCCATCGGAATTAGGTATCTATTAGTAAAATAATCTGGCAAGATCATAGTTACGTCATGTTGGATATATATTACAGATGGATTCTTGCTCTTTGTAGATTACGTTATGTTTCACTGCATTGCATATTTTTTTATTTCAAACTTTATAGTCTTAATAGGTGTAAGTTTCTTCTAGAAATTGGTTTTTTCTTTGATGTAATCTCTATGGATAATACACATGGCACCTGTTTTCCATTTTGCTTTGCTTGACAGAATTATTGGACTAGATCCGACGATGTAGAGGGTCAGCATGAGTTCAATGATCTTCCGACTCAACAGCCAGGTGGCAGCTTAAATAATGAAGGGATAAGGTAAATTCTACAAGTTTGACAACTTTTACTTGGTCATTTATTTTGACAAGGAACTTAGTTTTACCGATAGACTAGTATGCTTTAACTTTCTTTCATTTGCCTTCTCATTGCTGCTTAACAAAATACAGGAAACATGTGAATGACTTTGAAACTTGCTCTAAGCTTGAAGACCTAAATTTGGAAGTTAGACAGAATTTCAATGGCAAAGAAGAAATTCCGGCAGAAGATTCTATCAGAAGGTAGTTTCAGAGCAAACTTCTATGATTATTTCTCCTCTCTATTTGTCTTTTATTTTTTATTTTTAAAATTTACTTTATAAGTAGCAACGCTTCTAGAAAACGGAGGATAATCTAGTAATGGTAAATTTTGTTATGAATCTGAAAGTTTCTCTGAAAAATTTAGATCTAGCATTTATTTAACTTGAATTGTAGTATTTGCAATATTCCAAATACTGCATGTAATGTTGATTTAGAACAAGTTTTCATTTATTGAGTACTTATGCATCCAAGATTGTTGAATGAGAAAATCGTGGTCATTAGAGAAAACTACGTCCGAATATGAATGTGATTCTCAAAAAGTGAATTGTGCTACATAGAGGGAGAATTAATTGTTCTAATCTGAAAGGTAAATCAAGCATTTAAGTTTAAGCAAATTTGTAATGCCAAAATCACTTGTAGAATCATATTGTTAGTCAAAGTCTCTTTGCTGTTAAAGCATGCAAATAAATCCATCTACTTTGATCGACCACAATTTGCATCTTCCGTTTGCTTAAAAACTTGTGGTGTGGATCATTTAAGCCACAAAAAGGATCAACAATACTAGGCTCATGCTTTGTCAGTATCTGCAGAAAATACTGACAGGTCTTGCTTTCTTATGTTTCTTTCCAAGCTTTTTCGCTGCTTCTTCAACCTTTGTCCTCTACACTTCTATTTTCTTCTGACTTCAGTGCGTTTTAGTCATTGCATAAGTCTAATGGCTATAATTATTGAAAGTTTATAGGATGTTGGCAATGATTTTGTATGTTATGCTTTTAGCTGTAATGTTTCTAACATCTGAATCTCAAAAAGCAGATTGCAACTACCTGCAATATATTCAGTAGTTGACCACCAGTAATTGTAGTGCAGGCATGACATTTCGCATATTCCAATCCATGAAGTTATCTTTTCTACCATTGACAAACCCAAGCTTCTTAGTCAGGTAACCATAAGAGGGTTCATATACCTAGAACTTTTTTTTTTTAATTATCTAGAATACTTAATTGAAGGTCTGCTCAGTTCAATTGCTTGCTCTTTGATGTTGTTTTCTGTTATCTCTAGCTGTGTTTGCTGTAAGTGCCTAAGTGGAATACTGAAGGGGGAGATCACATAGAAGTGTTTGTAGCATGTTAATTCATTGGCCAACTCCTATTGCTAGCTGATGGACCTTTTGTAAGAAATTTGTAATACAGCTTGAGTTTAATAGAAGTTCTAAAAGACTTTTTACTATATTCTCTTCTTATTTTAGTTAATTCTCATCCATTGCTGTGGTTTGCGTTGCAATGAACTTTTAAAGGAAACAAAGCTTTATGTTGAAGATATAATTAAGAAAGTATGCTCACACTTCAACATGGTATCATAGTTAGACTGGCCTTAAGATTTCAGATGAAATGGCCACACACTTCAATATGATACCAGAGCCGCACTCATCACTATTCTTGGTTTACCCAATGTTGGGTCACCATGTCATGTTATCCACGCTCTAGTTAATCAGGATTGGGCGTGTGGAGGAAGGATGGTTAGATTGCCCCTTTGTTATTCCCATCATCCGGTAACCACAGGCTGATCCACAAGAAAGGTGGCAGGATTCGAACCTATGGCCGGCCTGCCCCTAACCTGCTGGGTTGGGTGGTCGGGTTAGCACCCCTCGTCGCTGTGGTTTGCGTTGCAATGAAATTTTAAAGGAAACAAAGCTTTATGTTGAAGATATAATTAAGAAAGTATGCTCACACTTCAACATGGTATCATAGTTAGACTGGCCTTAAGATTTCAGATGAAATGGCCACACACTTCAATATGATACCAGAGCCGCACTCATCACTATTCTTGGTTTACCCAATGTTGGGTCACCATGTCATGTTATCCACGCTCTAGTTAATCAGGATTGGGCGTGTGGAGGAAGGATGGTTAGATTGCCCCTTTGTTATTCCCATCATCCGGTAACCACAGGCTGATCCACAAGAAAGGTGGCAGGATTCGAACCTATGGCCGGCCTGCCCCTAACCTGCTGGGTTGGGTGGTCGGGTTAGCACCCCTCGTCGCCTCTGTACCCGAAACAGATGCGCTGCGCTAACCAGCGCCTAACCTTGTCTCCCCTACTCCTCTTCTGGTTGTGCCATTACCAATCGCGGGTAATCCCCGGTCCGGCCGCCCCTGACCTAAGAAGAACTATTATCCTTATGACCAAACATGGATCAGCTTCTTACTTCTCGAGCGATAGTTCCACGATCCCGACCAACAACTTCTTGGGAGTAGGGGCACATTGGCCTAGGGAATAGGTTGTTGTCTCCTTATATGGTCTTGGGCAATTTTCATCTCATGAGCTAGCTTTTAGGTTTGAGAAGGCAACAAACTTCAACATTTTGCTTCTGGATCTTTCGTTCTGTACAATAAATTTTTGGTTTGATCCGATATAAACACTTATAAACATTCGATTATGCCTGGTTTCTGGGCTTTTCCGAATACAACACTTCTGATGGTTTGTCTTGTGTTCATTTTCATATTTTTGTCTTCATGCTAAAAGTCCTCTTTGAATGCATATATCCCGGCAATTTTGCATAATGTTATGATGAAATGGATGTGAGAATTCATTTTTTTATATTTCTTTTTCCCTGATTAATGTTATCTCATGTTCTCTAACTGGCTACTTTCCTACTCTAGCTCTCTGCTTTACTTTCTGATATAGGGCTTAACATCCGAGAAGCTCATGTGTTCTCAACAACTGATGGGTATTCATTAGATGTATTTGTGGTGGATGGATGGCCTGTTGAGGTATGCTTAGTGTTGCTCACCATTTTTCTACTAGGTTTGATGTACAGATTCTGACATCTTGTTTATATCATTTCACATGGCCACTTCCTTTTTTGGTGTTTCTGGTAATAGCTCTTAATTCGATAGATCTTTTTGGGGTTTAAACTTAAAAGAACAAATGATTTAGGGGCTCTATGATTATGCTCTTATTTTAGGCTCTCAATTTACTATTTCTGTCCCTAAAGTCTTATAAGTATGCTGAATAATGTCTTGGTATTGTTGTGGTTAATCATCATGAGATATAAGGAAATCTTGCTCTTCGAAAATATAAAAATCACACACACACTGATACACGAGGAAAACCTTCCATATGGTCAATACAGGGTAGTGTAAACCTCAGTGAAAGTGAGCATTGTGATTATATTTCTTGCATGGCAGGTGTCTGTGCTGTGTACAAAAGTTGCTGACTTTGCCATGTTATGGTCAGGATACGGAGGCTTTGCATAAAGAACTGGGGAAAGCAATTTCCAGATTTGAGGTGATTTAGTTTTGGTTTCTTCTTGTTATGATGTTATTCAGTTAACCCTTTATGCTTTTTCTGTGGAGTTCCAATAAATAATCAATTGTTTTGGGGTTGCTTGTTTGTTGCTATTCGCTCTCCGAGGATAATAATCATTTGAGCTTATTTAAAAAAGGATAATAATCATTTGATTTCTAGAATATAACTGCACTAGATAAATGTGAGTTAATAGGGGGGAAGATTTTTGGTTTATGTTTCAGAAGCTTTTTTTATTATCTGGAGAAGTTCCGCCTCAAGCCCGTGCTGGTACCGTCTCAATCTTTTCTATAATATTCCTTTTGGATACTCTAACAGAAAGACTAGAGATTCCTACATTAATAGGCATAAGAGGGGAAATTTATGAAAGCTCATGGGAAGGAACTTGCTCCTATTGTTTCAAGGCGTGCTGCTAGTTGCATATGCCATCTTCCTAAACGGAAAAGGACAAAAAGTTTCAGTAATTTAAGTTCCACTGATGTAGCCTTTTCCTACTTAGGGTGGCATAGGCTAGGCCATTAGTAACTTCGTTGAAAAGGAAACTTATCTTGTAAAGAAGTAGGCCATGGGTAACTTAAAACAACACCTATATGGTATCATATTTATGTGGATGATATAGCTGCTATAATCTTGAGAGCTTCATTTCCAATTAGCCATCATCAATTTCCTTCTAGTTGATATGTGATGGATACCGTGATTAGAATCTCCTCAGAATCTACTTTGTTGTTGTATTGTTGAAGCTCATTAGTATGATGTAATTTATTTACCAAATTGTAATGAGCATATTTTCTGGATGACACAGGGATCATGGTCTGGTTCGTCTCATTCAAAGTCAGCTGTTGAAAAGTATATACTCGCACGATCAAAACCTGAAGATTGGGAAATTGATAGAAGATTACTGAAGATTGGGGAAAGAATTGCTTCAGGATCTTGCGGCGATTTGTGAGTTTTGGATTGTATTTCTGTGGTTTTGCATGAATTCTGGGTTCCCAGCTTTATAGGAACTTTGTTCTCTCCCTTATCTTCTAAACTTTTACTCATATGAAGGTATCATGGGATGTATCTTGGTATGGATGTTGCTATCAAGTTCATTAGATCTGAGCATTTGAATGACACATTGGAAGATGAGTTTGCTCAAGAAGTAGCAATTTTGAGGTGAGTGATCTAAGCTCTTATGTTGTATGAAGCTTATTTAGTCTGGGGGATGACACAAAACTTACTGTGTTGCTTCATCCTTGTCCTGTGCATTGTGTTGCCTACTAGAGGAGTTTTATTAACTTGGAGACCAAACTCGAAGTTAATTCCAGGTTGAAGACTTGTGGGGTAAGGTACTAAGAGTACCAGAGCATTCCTTGGCGTGTAAATCAAGAAAAAAGTTCCAAACATATATATGATGGATACATGATCCTCCTTATGTGTATTTCTGTATATTATATTCTTCAAATGCTAGTTGCATTTGTTACTTGGTGATACTGGTACTAACACAATTTTATGATACAAAGCATAACGATGCAAATCGGGCTTTATAAAGAGATGTGTTATGATTATTAATATTTCGTGTGTTGTAATATTTTGTGTGCATATGACTATATTAGTGTTACCACCTCTCAGATACTCCTTCACGATCTTACGATTTAATCTTATTGCATACAGGCAAGTTCAGCACAAAAATGTTGTTCGTTTCATTGGTGCATGCACAGAGTCACCTCATCTGTGCATAGTTACAGGTATGATTAGTGCTGGGCAAACAGTTGTGTGGTCTATTCGAGACTATGATTATAATCAGTTCATGGGTAAATTCATGCCATGGCCTTCTGGCTGTCCTTATCGAAGTTGTACATTCTCAGCTGCATGGCAGTAAACTGAAGAGTGTGTTTGGTCATTCATTGCTGCAATTTTTTCTGTACTTTATTTTTTAAATTTAATTGTACCATCTAGTTATTGTTGTTATACTTACATGGCGTTCGGATTGGGATACGTGTGATTTAGAGGAAATTTAGTTTTAGAGAACTCCTAATTTTGCTTAAAGGACAAATTACTCACCAGTATTGAATTGAGGTTTTCCCAAATAGAGTGTAATATATAGAGGATTCATATTGCCAACCCTGACTAGCATGGTTAATTGATGATGGATTGATAGCTGTTGAATGCTTTTGAAAAAAATGCGAAACGTGGTCCGTTGCATGTATATGTTTTCACAGTTTTTTTCATATCAATGCAAGGTTGTGCTCATAACGCTCTCCTTTTGAAATATTCATATACCGTGGATGACTTTTTTTCAAAGGTATATGTGGGACTTAAGTCAGCTGATGAAAATAATATTTATTGACTTATTCTTGTGTTAATGCTGATCTTTTTTGTAGAATACATGTCTGGTGGGAGCTTGTACGACTACTTGCATAAAAACCATGTCATATTACAACTCTCACAATTGCTAAGCTTTGCAATTGATGTCTGCAAAGGAATGGGGTACTTGCATCAAAATAATATTATTCACAGGGATCTGAAGACAGCAAATTTACTTATGGATGCGAACAATGTAAGTTGTGCAAACAATGAAGTAATTTCATCCTTAATCGTGCTACAACATGACTTCATGAGCACCGAGTCCACTTTCCTTTGGTCATAAATCAACGTTTTTCGTTAATTCTTCAACATCAAAAAGTAACTCCAGAAATAGACATTAGTCCTAATAAAACAAATAATATTAAAAAATTCGAATCGCCAAAAATATTTTCCAAATATTAAAAAGAAGAAATACTCGATTAATATGGAAATTCCATTGTTTTCTAAAATTATTCAATTAAAGATTATACATCGATCTAATTCTTCAGTTTCTACTTTTCAAAGAACTGCTATGTTCAGTGCTTACTCTATTGGACTGGAGGTTCGCTTCAACTGGTACTATGTTTTAATGGGATTGGCTGTATTATAAAGGATTGAAAAGGAATGTCCTATTATTTGAGATTTTTTCATAATGAATTCATACTGTTACTATTGAGGAAAGAGCAGGATTCTCACTGTAAAAACGCAAGCTTTTGAATTTTTATGGATCTTCACACCTGTCATGTTTACCGAGAATTAATTCTTCCATCAATTTGTTTCTCCTTTTTAATTGCTCATGATTTGAATGCCTACCTATTTTATTTGCTTACGTTTTGCATTATCTACACCACACCTATTTTGATTGACTTTGTAATCTGTGATAAGGTTGTTAAAGTGGCAGATTTTGGTGTTGCTCGTTTCCAAAATAAGGGGGGTGTCATGACAGCTGAGACTGGAACGTATAGATGGATGGCCCCTGAGGTCCGGCTATTTTCTCTGCTAAATTTGTGAATTATTTGATTCAGTACGGAATATCAGATATGCGTCTGTACCCTGATAAGCCAGTTAAACATACAAGTGATTTTGTTGTGAATGGAGCCCACTTGATTTCGACAGTCAAATAGAAAGACTTGCCTAACTTGTTGTGCTGCTGGAAGTTCTCTTTGCAGCTGCTTGAGTGGAAAAAGAATGATTCGTATATGCTGATTTTGATAATATTTTTAACCCCCAGTTCGGATAACCATTTGAGCTTCTCGTCCTTTTTAGTGCATAGTTTTAAATGCTCCAAAGATCCTTCTTTTTTTTTCCTTCTGAATCTCATTAAATCTTTACTTGTATATCGGATTCTAATGCTTTTATGACAGTATTAATTAACTTCACTTTCCTATTTGTTTTTGTTTGTTGCATAACATAACATAGTTGTACAACAATTAAAAGAAAAATGACATGGTTGTACAAGGGTGCTCGAGACACTTGGGAAGTCTGCTCATTGGTACTAATACTCCTTTACATGCAGCCGTTATCAGTTGGGCTCTTCTAGTTTTAAGCTGTAATTTTCTGAAATTGCTTATAGCCATGAAGTTTCTAGGATTGATTATTCAGAGTTTTGTAATAATATGGCTTTCCTAAGATGAGGCATTATTCCATAGTCCTGCACAAGATCTCGCTCGTGGTTCCATGCTTCTCTATGATGGAGGAGCCTATGTGCTTTATTTGTCTCTCTCCACCCTGTTTGATGATAGATAATTAAGACCAAGGGCTGAGTTTGTGGTGTCTAACATATATGAAGTATATTACCACATCCATAAGTATCTTGTCTGCTACTGCATGCTTGGTCTATTAAACTTTTCTTTTCCTTTTAGGTCATCAATCATCAGCCATACGATCAGAAAGCAGATGTGTTTAGTTTTGCTATTGTTCTTTGGGAGCTTGTAACAGCAAAGGTATTTGACTACTCATGAAAGAAGTCACATGATGGCCATCAGAAGCTAAGGTTGTGCCTCCTTTGATTCATGTACTTTTTGATGCTACAGGTTCCATATGACACCATGACCCCACTACAAGCTGCTCTAGGAGTGAGACAGGTCTGTATTGCAATTTGCTTTTAGCACGTGGAGCATGTTGTGAATTATATTTTCCCGTTAAGCAAGCTAGTCTGTTATTTTAGGCGTTTGAGGGCTTCGCATTTCGGGAGTGGAAGGGCTCCTTGCATATTTGTGCTGTAAAACTTAAAACAGATATGAAGTTTTGTGTAGTGCTGTATAGTTGGTTAATGTTAGCCTCATTACATGCTAACAATGTTTTATGAACCCCTAAGAACAAGTGAGATTCCTTTTATCTAAATGATAGTGTGCATAGCTAGATTTTTCCTGCAGGTGTAAAGTTCCAAGTCCTTTAAACAGTCCTACGTCCTTGGATCTCGAGTGGATGTGCATAGTTGGAATTTAGATAACATTCATGGGCCAAATACCGATGCATGCAATATCTATATTATGTGCATGATTGCTCGTATAGCCATTATGATATTAATTAAGGATACTGACTTTAGGAAAGAAGGAACACTTGCAAAGTCAGATGATACTTTTCCCGTGCCATCTGTTACATTTCATTCTAACTCGTCTCTGAGTCTGACACTATTATGTTGTCTCCTAGGGCCTCCGACCAGAGCTTCCAGAGAATGCACACCCGAGGCTGCTAGACTTGATGCAGAGGTGTTGGGAGGCCATTCCGAGTGATAGACCCAGCTTCTCTGAAATACAAGTTGAACTTGAACTACTCTTGCAGGAAGTTGAGGTAAACATATCTCTATACATTGTACTTGGTCCAATATCCCTCAATTGGATTACCATTTTTGACGTGCGTCTTCCGATTTATCCTGTGACTATTTCTATTATTTGTGTCTCACAGGATGCGGTAGAGGCTCCAAATGAGAGATGAACATGTGCTACATGTATTGGACTAACGACACACTTTAACAGTAACAACAGAGGATTTTCTTTACCAGGCCATATATACACAGACCTTTATTTTTTGGGTGAGATCTATGTTACAAGCGAAAGACACAGAGAACTGCTGGCCATTTTTGGAGTTGATAGCAAAGTGACTCGATTTTCTGATAACACGTTACTGCATCAAAAATACCACTAACATCCTTGTAAAATCTTTTTTTCCCCTTTAAGGAAAATGTAATGTCTTTTTTTTTTGAGGGGTGGGGTTTTGGGGGATGATAAAGGAGTTTGGGTGAGAATTTCACAAGTGTACCAGCGTTTTCGAGTTTGGTTCAGATCAACTTGTTGGGCTGTTACTTTCTGTTCAATTGAATGCGCTGTTGTTTCGCCTAATGAGCAAGTTTGAGGAGAAAGCTCTTGGTTGATGCTACATATAGCCTGATGTATCAATTGGCTTGAGAATACTCGAATCACTTTTCACGTGGATCTGTTTGGCTTGAGATGTGCTACATATGAGATAATTTGAATGTTCTTGTTCTTGTTATAATTATAATAATAATAATTAGTGCCGTAGAGTCGGTTTTTAGGGCGGTTAAATAGGAACAGGATCAAGTTTGAGCCAGTTAAGAGTGGTTGAATCAATAATCATGCCATGATTTCACATACTAAAAGAAAAATTGGTTAAGATGTTTGAAAAAGAAATAGTAGCTAATGACATATGCACGATCCTTGAAATAATATTTAACTTAATTTAAATTATATACTCCATTCGTTTCAATTTATGTGAACCTATTTCTTTTTCAGTCCGTATTAAAAAGAATAACCTCTTTCCTTATTTGGAAACAATTTACCTTTATGCAATGATTTATAGTCACACAAAATATATGTGCTTTATTTTACACCACAAGTTCAAAAGTCATTCTCTCTTTTCTTAAATTCCGTACCTAGTCAAATGAGTTCACATAAATTGAAACGGAGGGAGTACAACATATTATTTTCACTACATAATACGCAAATTAAGCATAGCCACACTAGAGAAAATAATAGTAACTTAGATGTTATCACTAAATACTATAAATTATTACTATAATGTTTATTTGTAGTAATTTTTATGTGAGCATACGCCCATGTTGAGTTATATGGGTGGTAATTGTGAGAGATAATGACCTGCCCCATTTAACAAACTTACTCCCCAAGTCCGAGTAACTGCTGTTTCCCTCTATCCCTGTTTCTTACAGCACCAGCGTAACCGCTCTTTACCTCTATCCCCTCTTTCTTACAGCACCCAAACACCAATTAAACCCTTCTCTTATCTTTTAACTGTAAACATTTACACAAGTAAAACTACTAGTGTCCTTCTCCTTTTCTTGAAAATCAAAGAAATATGGACAACCAAAACACCTATTGCACTACTATTTCAGATTTTATTCAACCCCCCCTTGTTCTACAGAGTCACGTAATTGGCGATGATCAAACACATGAAGAAGAAGCATCAAGGAGATTCACCATGTTTGAGACAAATGCCAGGTACAAACCTCAAAATCCCAGAAAGAAAAGAAGCAAATTGTTAAGAATCAATGATAACTCCTTTAGAATCAGTAGTACTAATCCTAGTACTTCGGGTGTTATTACTAAGCCTAAATGTGCCAAGAAACCACCAGACCCTAATGCCCCCAAAATTACTAGGCCTTGTACTGAATGTGGCAAGAAATTTTGGTCATGGAAAGCCCTTTTTGGTCACATGCGTTGTCACCCTGAACGCCAATGGCGTGGTATTAACCCTCCTCCCAATTTAAAACGACCAATTCATTCTTCATTTCCCCAACAATCCCCCAATTATTCCCTTTTACTAACTGACGAGGATCATGAAATTGCCGACTGCTTATTACTATTGTCTAATGGACAGCCTCGTACTCCTTGTAATGTGTTGTTGGAAAATGACAACGTTGTTAGGGACGTTGATCACATGGTTATAGATGGAGAAAAGGGTGTAATTGAATCTGGGACATTTTCTTCTGGAGAGAATAATAATTGTTGTAAATTTGAGTGCACAAGTTGCAAGAAGGTATTTGGTTCACACCAGGCATTAGGGGGACATAGGGCAACTCACAAGAATGTCAAGGGTTGTTCTGCAAATACAAGAAATTATGGGGAATGTAGCCAGCAATTAGAAGAGGGCAATATAGGAATTATGTGCAGTGATAGTGAAGATACAATTAGCAATGATAACAAGAGGTTGATGGTATTGGGACATAAGTGTAGTATATGTTTGAGAGTTTTTTCAAGTGGACAAGCTTTGGGAGGACACAAAAGGTGTCATGGGGAAAAACTCGGGGACGAAATAACAGCAGCAACAACAACAACAATATCAGCCGTAGAATCAGACTTAACGCGAGCTGTCATTGTCAATCCGAAGGTGCAGGAAAATAATGTTGCTAATTTGGATCTCAATTTTCCTCCTGTTACAATCTCAGGAGATGATCAAGATGATTCTTCAGCTTCTTATTCATCTATTTCAGGATTGGAATTGGACTTGAGGTTGGGACTTTAGTAGGAATTTGTTATGAAGAAATGTACAAAGGTTCTTGTGACGTGTACTGATATTAGTGTTATAACCTATATTGGCTAGGAATATTAGCTAAGGTTTCTATCATATCAGTGATGTAGCATATATAGGAGTTTGACTAACTTTTGAAGGTTTTGTTCCTTCTAATGGTTCCAAAATTAGGAGTTAGAATTTCTGTTGTGATTAATTTGGGGCTCCTTAATGACACTGATATTTGTACCACACATTTGTGATAGGTACGAGTAATAATTTCTCGGTGTGAAATAGCAGCATTGTTACATGTAAATTTGGAGTAGTTCATTTACTTGTATATCTTGGTTTATTTGATTTTTAGATCACTATCATTACATGATATTTGTTTTGTTTCGGTTATATTATTTTTCTGGCTGTTGTTAATGTTTCTCTTTCCGTAGTTCTTTGTCATAACTGATGTAATTTTACTTTCGTTGAGCCGACGGTCTACTGAAAACAGTCTTTCTACATTTGCAAGGTAGAAATAAGATATGTGTACATACCACCCTCCCCAGATCTCACTTGTACTTGTGAGAATATACCGGATATATTTTCGTTGTATTTTGATTTATTTGATTTAAATTCTGGCATTATAGATTAGTTTTGCTGTTGGGGACACAAGTGATGTGTGAGCTTGAAGGGATACATGCAACATTAGTTAACAATGTGTGAGCTCGAAGGGATACCAATGATTGAAAAAAAATGAAACTAATTGGCATTAGTGAAAGATTCTATTAGTATTTGATAATGATTAAGCTAGCAATAGAGACATATAATATAAGATAAAGAACAAAAAAGTGTTTTATTTCTAAATATTAAAATTTGCATGCATGTCATTGCAAATTTCCACGATCCTTCCAATCCCTTGCTAGCATCCCATGTCAAACTGCCCCACTCCACCAGAAAAGAAAATTATATATAAAAATAATTATGAAAAAAGAAAAGGAAAAAAAAAAGAGACTGAGAGATTGGGACTCACCTTTTCGTAGTGGTGAGGAGGTGACGAACATGTAAAATGTAACAAGTTAAATTATACTCATTTTATTTTTCGTTCTGTTTACTTTGGCCAAGTATATTAAAAATCATGATATTATTGATACTCATCTTTTTGTCATAACACTAACTTTAGCTGTTTCTTCCCTTCCCTTTTTATTTAAATCTAAAACCAGAAAAAAAAAATTGCGTCCGATTAATACCAATTCAATTAATTAATACTGAGTTGGTGAACTTCTCCATTTTCTATAAGCAGGAGTTAGTCAACATCCAATCATACTCTCTCATTGTCAATCTTCTCAAAGTCTTATATACTTATTTCAAAGTGTTCCCACTAATTTGCTGATAATTCTACACTTGTTAATTAAATGATGAGTATAACGAAATCTGGATTTAAAGTTTGTATCTAATAGCCTTTTTAGTTGGGCATTCTTTTTGGAATTATTATGACCATGGAAATAGATCAATAGAATAAGTTAAGAGAACTTTCCATAGTCTTTGTTTGACTCTTTAATGTGTTTTCAACTTAGAAATTAAGAAGAACACTTTATACTACTTTATTTGTGTATAGTTAAAGTGTTAAACAATATATGCAGGATTAGGGATCAACAAATCGAATGAAGTAAATTATCTTTCTTTTAGGCAAAATTAATTAATGATAGTTAAACCCGAAAATTAGGTCAAATTTGAATAAGTAACACCTAAAACTAGAACGGAAAAAAGTAAAATGATATACAAGAAGGAAAGTATACCTTAAGATATTACTTACAGACATGGGTGTACAAATGAAATAGACAAACCGCACCAACCCGATAATACGAGTCAAACCGAGAAAAAAACCCGATTATAGTTTGGTTTGGTGTTGGAAAAAAAATCCGACGATATTTGATTTGGTTTGGTTTTAACTAAAAAAAGTCAAACCGAAACCAAACCAACCCGACATTATATGTATAGAAGTTTTAAATAATACATAAAAATATTTATTGTAGTGTAGTTTATAAATATTTCTTAAGCTTTTTCATAGTTTTATCTTTTAAAGTATTATTTCGAGCTTGCACTTATAATTTTTGGATGCTTCAATAAGTTTTATAGTCCATAAATGTTAGTAACTCAAATAAATTCTAAACCAAAATCAAATCAATACTAATGCTATAAAAGACATTCAATTGTATTATATATGAATGAAAATAGTGTTGGATGTCTATTTTTTTTTTTTTAGCTTTTTCATGATTTAGATAAAATGCATAACTTATTTTTCTTTTAGTGTTTAGTCATGTAAATAATATTACTTATTAGTCGTACTTATTTTAGCAACTTATTAGTAATTTTAAATTATGTTTATTTTCATTATAGCTTATTAATACTAATATTTATTTTATGCGATTTTATTATCTTTATTGTTGAATATTTTAGTACAATGCCATGAATCATCTCATATTTATGTTATTTTATTGAAAAACACCTTATATAGTTCTGTCTTACTAAAATTAAAAAAATATTTGGAGGACAAATTCTATGATTTGTGCTATGAAGACTTTATGGAAAAAAATCCAAAAACTCGAGAAAAATCGAGATTTAAAAACCCGACTTTTATTGGTTTGGTTTGATCTTCAGATTTAATAACTCGATACAATTGATTTGGTTTGGTAGTTAAAAAATCCGAATCAACCCGCCTTATATACACCCCTACTTACACAAGATATTTACACTAACCAACAAATATTTTCTATATATATATATTTATCACTTAACCATGATTAAAAGATATTATTTTTACATAAATTAATTACTTAATCATGATAAAATAATGTTACTTACTAAATTGATAAGTTGTAGGACGATTAGCTTCAGAGGAACAAATCTATACTATATTAAAAGCACGAAGGCTCTTAGCGAAATGTTGTTTGCCTTTTTTACCCTTTAAGATTAGATTTCACATTAGACAAAATAGTAATTTTAGTATTTTATAAATATTTAGAAATTCTAAATCAACTAAATTTTGTGCATTATTTTCCTAATATTTAGGAGTTCCAAATCAACTAAAATTGTATATATTAAATATTTCTTGTTTAAACTTCTATGTGATGAGCCCTAAGGTATGCTATAAGCATGAAAAAAACTAAACAAAACCTTTCCTTTTTTAAGAAAAAGAAAATTTACGGCTTAGAATAGGTAGTAGATTGTTGTTAGCCAATGAAAAGTATCATTTTTATGTCCTAATTTTAGTATAAAAATATTCAAAGTACTTTCAAATATTTTTTCTATCTATATTTATTTTTACCAAAGTAAGAAAAAAGAGCTCAAACAATTAATATTCTTTATGTAACGATCCGACCGGTCGTTTTGAGCTCTAGCGTGTTATTCAGTGGTTTGAGACCCGAGCAATTTCAATTCAGGTATTATGACTTGTACGCGTGGTCGGAATTTAATTTCGGGAAGTTCGGAGTTGATTTGGAAAGAAAATTCTAATTTCGGAAGCTTTAAGTTGGAGGAATTGAGTAAAGTGTGATTTTTGAGTAGACGACCTCAGAATCGGGATTTGAAGGTTCCAACAGGTTCGTATGATGATTTTGGATTTAGGCGCATGTCCGGATCGGGTTTTGGATGACCCGAGATTCGACGCCTATTATGGAAGTTGGCATTTTGGAAGAATTTCATAAATTTGAGTTGAAGTGCATTTCAATGATATCGACGCCTGTTTGGGATTCCGAGTCTGGGAATAGCTCCGTATGATGATTCCGGTCTTAGAAGCGCATCCAGAAATGGATTTGGAGGTCCGTAGGTCATTTTGGGGTCATTTGGGCGAAAGTTGAAAATTTGGATAATTTTAAGAAGTTTGGTCGGGAGTGGACTTTTTGATATCGGGGTCGGATTCCGATTCCGGAAGTTGGAGTAGGTCCGTAATGTCGAATGTGACTTGTGTGCAAAATTTGAGGTCAATCAGACATGATTTGATAGGTTTCAGCATCGAATATAGAAGTTTGAAGTTTTAAAGTTCATTAAGCTTGAATTGGAGTGCGATTCATGATTTCGATATTGTTTAATGTGATTTAAAGGCTCAAACAAGTCCGTTTTATGATTTCAAACTTGATGGTATGTTTGGACGGGGCCTCGGGGGGCCCCGATGCCGTTCGGATGATGCGCGGATTGAGTTGGAAACTCAAAAGGGCTGCTGGTTGCATCAGTTCTGGTGTAACCGCACCTGTGCGAGCCCGCAAGTGCGAGGGTTTGGTCGCAGAAGCAGCTCTGAAGTGTTTGGCCAGGGACCGCAGGTGCGGAATTTCGTATGCACCCGCGAATGCGCAGGTGCGAGGAGGAAAGGTGCATGTGCGGGACTAGGCGCAGAAGCGACACGCTTGCCGCAGAAGCGGGACCGCAGAAGCAAGCTCACCTCCGAAGAAGCGGCCCTCCCTGGGCTTGAAGGCCTCCGCAGAAGCGGACCTAGCACCGCAGGTGGGAAGATCGTTGGGCAGTGAGTTTTTTATAAAACAGAATTTTGGCCATTTTCATTTCATTTCCTCTATGAGAGCCGACCTTGGAACGATTTTGGAGTACCATTTTCATTGTCCATAATGAAGTAAGTGATTTCTACCACTTGTGAGTTAAATATACGAACTTAGGCTTGAAAATTCATGAAAATTAGTAAAAATTTGGGATTTTGAAGAAAAACCTAGACATTGGTATTTTTGAATTTTTACCAAGAAATTGGACTTGGAATTTGGAATAAATTATATATTTGGGTTCGTGGTGTTATGGGTAAAGTTTATCTTCGAAAATTTTCGGAATCCGGGCACGTGGGCCCGATGGTGATTTTATCGAATTTTTGAGCGGAGTTGGAAATTATTATAAATTGATTAATTATGAGTATTAGAGTATATTTTGATTGGGCTGCATCTTATTTGACTAGTTTTGTATCGGCGGTCACCGGTTCGAGGTGTTAGGGTTGTGTTGGAGCCAGANGGAATTTGTACCACGTGATTTATTACTTGTTTACCTCATTTATTTACTCTGCCTTATATTTACTGTACTTGATATTATTGGACCATTAGTGAATGTCTATGTCGACCCCTCGTCACTACTCCTCCGGGGTTAGGCTAGATACTTACTGGGTACACATTGATTACGTACTCATGCTACACTTGCTGCATATTTTTGTGCAGGTACATATGTGACTAGTGGCCTTGTAAGAGCAGAGGCGTGTATGCATAC